ATTGAGGAACTGTTCTTGTGGAAACTTGGCGGATTTAGAGGTCAACTTCCGGCGTTTCGTACTCACAAAAAGCCTGTGAACGCAAGAGCAAGAATGGACGAAGTAACTCGGATAGGTGGTAATCACATATCTGGTGAATCGTGCTAATGTAGAGAGATCGCCAAACCAGTTAGCTGTGGGGTCGTATACGGACAACGTAGCGTAACACAAAACATGCCAAATGTCGCGGATGCTCTACCGTGTGTTGCCAGCTTGACAAATTCGTTTAAATAATAAGTGTCAGTATCAATGTTGATCATCGTTAGATCTTGGGTAGTTGATTTTGGTGAATTATTTGCCACTGCATGCACATAATTGTGGCGTTAGACATAAGAAAGGACTATTCTGGTATATATTTCATGGATGGTAATCGGCGTCCCAGTTCTAGGGTTACTAAAGGTGACAACCTAAAAATGACTCCAAATTGTTTCTTCAGCGACCAATGGTTCCGTATTCTCCAAATGCATCCATGGTGATATATTTAGGCTTCTCTTTCCTATTTATGTCAGGCCAAGTTTAGAGTATTGTATCTGGGCAGCAAGTACATGCCTAAGAAATGAAGCCGTCACATTAGAATGGGCTCTAGCAGTTTCAAAGAAACCAATTACCGATCTTGCTTATGAAATCGCATGGTCCTAAAAAGACCGCCTGGAGTTAGCAGTAGGGAAAGTTGCGAAATTATAGGTCGTTCCTCTGTAATAGCCATGAGTAACTGGGGGCAGAAAGGAAATCATCGCGGTCATGGGCTGCCTTCCTGTTGGCATGCACTTGGAGCAGATCCACCAGTGGTGAGGCCGAATTCCACATCTGACAAGCGTCGAAAGAAAGGTTTGAAGGAATTTAGGTGGATCAGGTCAGTTGAAAGTGAAACTTTAGGAAATAGTCTCAAGCCTGTCAAAGTAATGAACATTCAACTCAGCGGGAAGCTGAATCGTAAGCTGATCATTTCCCCGCTCCCTAATCAAGTGAAAAATGGTCTGTAAGAGCATATCTCAGTCCCACTACCTCCAGGGCACGGCAAAAGCAGTCTGAATTTCACCATCAGCCTCGATCAGTCCTTAAGATAGCTCACACAGTTGCCAACTTAGATCCTACAAGTCACCCCAAAAGATTAATCAGGAACTTGAGTCTACATTCACAGGAAAGACTAAGTCACAAAAGTTAGACCACAGCCTTAACTTTAGATCCCCCACACTATTTGACGCTGTGGAAAGTGGCTTTTCCCTGTTGACAGATGGTGAAGAGCATGGTCTTGGTCAATGGAAGAATATTTGAAAGCTTTCGGGAACCTCACCCTGTAGTCCATCTCTTCAACGCTTAGCGTGTAGCAGGTCCTCCCCCAATAGCAAAAAGTCACTCTCGAGAACTATGGTGTTCAATCATCACACACCGGATTCCCTTATTTTTCAGCACGGATACCGCTGAACTTATCCAGAACATAAATCAGTGGAAATATACAGTTAACAAACTCCAAGCCGATGTGGGGGCTGAAGTAATTAACCGTCTTCCAAGCCCGGTTAACCCCTCGACCATTCTTACTCCTAGGCTGCTTCAAGTAGCCCTTGACTCTCCGAACATAATCAGAACTACTTTGCAGTTCTGGCATAATGAATATGTTGCATTCCATAGAGAGATTGCGATCAACGAGTGAGAACCCGGGGAACAAGTGGAGACCGAGGGCGATTCAAGAGCTTTCCGGTGGTCAGTCCATACCTAACGATCGAAAGGTTGGATGATGGGCAGAAGTTTTCATCGGCCTTGTCTCAGATCGAAGAGTCCTGAACCGCTTCTCAATCAGGTAGATTGGTGGATGTAGTAGACCTTGGTTCCACCCTCTTATTAAAACAGTTGTCGAAGCTGGCCCTTTAAAGGCTGGCAACACAATCTTAACTCAGTCTGCTCCTGGGACTTTCAGCCTTCACACTGTCATTCGCTGTACCTACAGCAATGTGCGTGGCCTGCGTCCAAGGATGCCAGAGTTGAGGTTATTAGTTGATGAGGATAGCCCTAGCATAGTGGCTCTCTGCGAAGCATGCTCACAGAGAGCATAAAAGACGAGGAAGCTTGTTAAGGACAGGTGAGCCCAATCCGTAAGGATAGACAGGAGGGTCCAGGAGGTGGCGCTGCTTTTTGCATCTATCCTTCTTTGAAAGCCCGTGTAATTCGCTTCTATAGAAGTGACACTAAAGATGTTCTTTGGTGCAGCATTCAGTGCTGTGGAGGCCCGTGTTTGGTTGGAGTCTTATGCCACCCTCTTGGAGCCTCTACCACATTAAATAAAATGTTGATACAGTTAGAGGAGCTCTAGGACTGAACTTTCCACAGGTCTTCATTATGGGAAATTTTAACTTCCCGCAACTCTCTACTACTGAAAGTTCATCCGGTGTTTTAAAAGACTTTCGCTCATTATTACCGGAAGACTCCTTGAGTGAACACGTCTCTCAGCGTACCCGCCGGAGGTTTGACGGTAAGGCATCCCGACTAGATTCTGTTTTCACAAATGAATTCATTTGGGTAACCAACTCAAGTGTTCTTAGCCATCTTAGACTGAGCGACCGTGCAGTTGTTTCCTTGAAAATTTCCATGTCTAAGCCACCCGCTGCTGATCATCCATTAGTCAAGAATTATGGGGTAACAGAATTTGGAAAGGTCTGGCAAGATCTAGAAAGTTCCCCTTGCTTAAATTGCGATGACCTCCTGGATCTGGAAGGCAGATGGGATTTGTTGAAGGACGCAATCCTTCACGATAAATAATAACACTCCTCTGGTTCCAAGAAGAAGCAACAAGCTTTACTCATCCTTGCTCAAGTCAAGCATGCGTAAACGTATATGGCGTAAACCGTCACCTTGGAATCAGTAGAGGGTCATTTGTAGCTCTTTTGGCTGGCTAAATTACAAAAACATCAGCGACAGACGTACGATTAGAATCAGAAATGACAGAACAAACCGGCGGACAACTGTGTAGAACCCTGGAGGGGTATCATGGGGTACTATACTCGTTGGTGAAACAATAGCGTAACAGCACACTCAGTATACTGGACCCCAGTAGTTTAGATATTCTTCACACTGACTCCAAGGTAGCAAATTTACTACCTCACGAATTGCACAATAACTTCTGTCATTTGGGAGGGACAATTGCGCATCTGTCGGACACCCGCATCACAGAGGGCTAAACCATATGGAGTTTCAACCTTCCATAATTATGAAGATATTAAAGAATCTAAAGGTGAATAGGTCTCCGAGAGTTGATGGGACTCACCGGGGAGTACCCAAAGAGTGTACCAGAGTTCTGAGTGCCGCACTGTCAAACCCCTTCAGATGCTCGTTACTGAAAGGCAGGTTGCCCTCTGATTGGAAACGGGTGGCTTTCTTCTCAGTATGCAGAAGTGGAAACAAACTACTCACTTGTAACTATAGGACAATCTCCCTGATCTCTTCAGTCGTGAAGGTCATGGAGAGAGTAATGAACGATTCATTTCGTGATCACTTGCTGCAGAATTCAATCTCATACGGCTGTGAACATAGTTTTTTATCTTCAAGGTCACGTAACACCAACCCGTCGATAGCCTGGAGCAGCTGGACCCCTCCTGCTGAGCACAAAAAGCCAATTCACATTAGTTTGCTTGACTTTGACAGGGTAAATCATGGTGTCCTGTACAAGAAACTTCGGTTCCTGAGTGTACACCGCAAATTACTAATTTGCCTTAGAGATTTTCCTTACACCAGGTTGCAACCAGTTACAGTTGGCTCCTGTCTATCAACTGGTTCCCGATGCTGAGTGGTATGTCTCAAGGTTCTATTCTGGGCCCACTACTATTTCTTACTCTTACCAATGACCTGCCAGGATCCCTCAGTTCTTATTCACTATCGTAGGCGGATTATCTGAAGACTTGGAGTGAAATATAGGTGCCAACGGATATTTCCGTCCTCCAGGAGGACCTTGTGTAAACCCTTAACTGTATCACGGAAAACCTACTTTCTCTCAACCCTTAGAAGTGTAGGATAGTGATAGCTAACAAATATGAAAGCAGTCCCGCTTCCTAATCTCTGTATGAAATAAATGTATGTCACTGCAACATCGGACAAGGTCTGGGAGCTACAGTAAGTGACACACTAGGGGCTTTAGTCTGCTGTCACCTTGCAGCCAACAAGGCCAATGGACTCTTGGGGTTTCTTTCGAGAGTCTAACCCCTTCTCTTTTCGCCACAGTGTGTGCTCTGTACACTTGCCCTCGTCTAGAGAAAAAAGTTGCTCATGATGTCCTCATACTTGAAGAAGGCAAAGCCATCTTAGGACGGGTAAAGAGAAGAGCTACAAAGAAAGTGATTGGGTTACAGTACAAACCTTGCCCGAGACCACTTAGTTGCTCTTAAGCTGCACCCAGTCCAGTGCCGGGGGACCAGAAGGGGTATGGTCATGATGTACCACATCGCCTATAATCCCCCTCGTTCTTAAAGATGCCTTCTAATCTGTGGTTAGAAACGCCATGAGCATGACTGAGCATGCACATAGATCCGTGCTAACTCTTTTGTAGTTAGAGTTTGTTAACTGAGGAGTCCCCTTCCTTTAGCAGGTGTTACAGCCCCATCCCCTGATACTTTTAAAAGGAGACAAGAAGCACATCTTGAGTCTTGGGGTACCGGAAGCGTGTACTCGAGAAGCTTCCCGTCATCTGCAGATAAAGTTCAGTAATACTACCTTCAGACCAGATTAATTAATAATGGATTATCTCTATCCTTTCAGGTTTCGTGGAACTAGGAAAACAATTGCGACCATTCCAATCCCAGAACGTACTCTGATAAGACAGACGTAGAACATAAGGGACCATAGTATACTTAATTGAAGTTTGCACTGCCTGATGAGGCGGGAATGTTAACCTGCTTCGTTAGAGGTCGCGTGCCGTTGTGTCGCGACGTATTTTCGCTGGTCCCTACATCGCCTTTAGTTTGCACCGAGGTAGCATGAATCCGTAAGTTGTTTTTGTGTTGGTAATAGTTTTCGCAGTATTTCTCAACAAAATGCGTCTGAAAGTGTTCCAAACAATGAAGCCTGTAAGGAGGACTCAATCGACGCAACAGTAATTGACGATACATTGTGTAATCATTATTTCGTTAGAGTTACCATGAAATGAGGATAAATGCAGTTAAGGAACTCAAAAGGTTGCAAAAAAACCCATATCCACACAAGTTTCACGTGTCCATATCGTTAGGAGAATTCATAGAGAAGTATTCTTCCCTGACTCCTGGTGAACATCTAGATGATGTTTGTGTCACTGTGGCAGGTAACTACTATTTAAATGTCTACTTTTTCTTATCAAGGCCGTGTCCATGCGAAAAGATCAGCCGGTGCCAAACTAATATTTTATGACATTCGATCTGAAGACCACAAGTTGCAGGTTATGGCAAATGTTCGGAATTACAAATCAGAAACTGAATTCCATGAAATTAATGAAATCCTTCACCTGGGAGATATCATTGGATGTGTTGGTACTCCAGGTATGGAAATATGATTTGTGTACATATTTTTTCAGGCAAGTCAAAACTTGGTGAACTAAGTATACTTCCTCGTGAAATTATTCTCCTTTCACCTTGTCTATATCAACTTCCGCACATGCACTATGGAGTAAAGGATAAGGAGACCCGTTTTCGTCAACGCTACTTGGATCTTATGATGAATGATGAAGTACGACAACGCTTTGTCACGCGTGCTCGAATAATCAACTACATGCGCTCATTCTTTGACAATCTTGGATTTCTTGAGGTAATCAGTTGCACGTAATATTCCAAGCATGATGGTTCCCTAGTTAAATGGGTTAATGTTAGTTAACTGAGTAACCACATGTCATGAAGTCATACCAGTGGATGAGTTTAGCTCTACAAATAATCGCTGAATGTAAATAAATAAATGAATAACCAATAAGCTTTCACCGTAAATGTCAATCACTCAAAGTTTAAATCAACAATTCTGGTGGATAGAAACTTGATTTCGATATATATATATATATATATATATATATATATATATATATATATATATATAGGCCTGGTTCATTTGTGGTGTTTTACTATGATGAGGCTCGTATAATGGTAGCGTTGCAAATCATTCTTTGAAAGCAAACAAGTTGAAGCGACGTAGATGGAAATAAGGTGGCCGCTCATCATATTTTTCTAAGACTGCTGAACCGGTTTAAATCCCTGAGCTGTGGTCCTGTTACTGAACGACCGATAGCTACTACCTTAATGTGGTGGTCGGGCTTGTAAGTCACGATGACCCAGCGAGCTGTGCTGGTGGAACGCTTGTCCCCTCGAGATCCTGCCATACCAAAAAGGTCTTTTGGATATTCTTCAGACAAAAAGCAGTTACCCTTAACAGGTTCTTAAACAATGAAATGATGCACCCGGATGGTCATCAGTTGTAAGTAGGGATCTGAGAGGATGCCTGTCCGACCGCGCCTTCAATAATAAAAGCCAATACTCGTCTCATCAAAAGGCCGTACGTGACTGGACTCTAGCAGATGTCACATGGGTTCTATGATCACGCCTTAACCCTTCTTTTTCAGGTACCTCAAGAAAACCTAGCCTTTCACGGTGTGCGCAGCCGAGAAGTGTCAACCGCCCTCACAACTGTCAGTACTCAAGTTCCCTCAGACCACTATCCATCTTTCCCATCCTTGCCTTCTTATCTTCCTCCACGTCTCTCAGTTAACAATCCTACATCTTTAATTCCTTCTAGCTCTGCAGCTTTCGACAATGATGTGAGTCCACAGAACAGCATCACTGGTCTCCTTAAACCACCCTCCCAATTACACATTGGAGCCTTCGATGTCCACACGCTCCATCAGATCGGCCAACAAACTCCACTAGCCAAAAATCTAGCAACTCGGACCATTGATGTGTACCGCGTTTGTGAGACACGTATACGGAACCCAAGTGCAGTTATTCATTTAACCTCTCCCGGTCAGTATGGTGAGTCCACAAAATGCACCCTTCGCGTTTTTGGAGATTTGATGGCCAATTCTCGGGGTCTTGCAGCTGTAGACATAACACTAAGCACTAAGACAGAAAACTCACTACTAGACTGGATTCAAGTTGTTAGTCGCCTATGCGCTGTCCGGCTGAACGGCACAGTAAGAACTAAGAGGAACAGTGAAACTCGCTGTTGTCTGTTTATAGTCTCTGCTTACGCACCCACTGACTGCAGTTCGGGTGAAATAAGGGATGAATTCTCCAGCAAACTGTCTAGTCTCCTACTCAAAGCCAAACGTTCAGATGTGGTTGTGGTTGCAGGTGACTTCAATGCACGAGTAGTTAGGTTGAGTCAGGCAGAGAGACACTTAGGTGGCGCTTTCAGGATCCTAGCCGAACGGATGACCTACTACAACTGTGCTCAGATAACCACTTATTTCTAGCTAGCACAAACTTCAGACATAAAGAAAGACATTGTCTGACGTGGCGTCCACTGAGCTCATCTCAGCGGTGGACACATAAACTACATTGCTGTCAGACATCTCTGGAGAGGGTCGGTGGGAGACTGCCGCTCCTTCTGGAGCACCTATTTAAGTAGCGACCGCGCGTCGGTCCAAGCACGTATATTTCTGCATCTCAATGAACATAGGAAAAATTAAACAAGACCACTACGAGTGCAGCTCGAAAATGAGAGCACTATACCGCCTTCAGTAAGAAATTGGCTTAGCAGTTATCGGGACAGAACACGATCACTCATCCAGAAGATGCTTGGTGCTGTCTCCAATCTGCTGTAAAAACAGCGTTAAAGACCGTAGCCGACTCTCGAATAGTGGTTAAAAAGAGCCAGTGGATACCGGCAGCTTCTTCTGAATTAATGGATGCACGTGAACGCATCGCTGCAGGTTCTAAATACAGTGAGGAGCGAACGTAACTCCGATGTAGACTGACAAAAAATCTACGCAATGACCTCCAATAGTAGTGGGCAGCGAATATTAAGGAGATGGAGAAGGCAGCAGCTATTGATGACAGCAGACAATTATTTAGACTTATTAATGAAACTGGGGGAGGGGGGAAGGTCAACAACAGTTAGTGAGACTATAGCGGTAAAGGATGGTCTACGATTCACTCGCAGGGGAGACTACTGAAACAATGGGTGGAACACTTAGAGAAACGGTCCAGCTGGCCTCCAGCTACTATTTTCTTGCCCGCTATCTAGTCGGATCCTAAATGGAGCATTGAGATAGGCCCCCAACACTTGCAGAAGTCGAAAAAGCGGTAGGTCACTTGAAACTAGGAAGGGCAGCAGGTCCATATAGACTAGTTCCTGAGGTATAGAAGGACGGTGGTAGAGTAATTTTAGTCAAGTTAACTGAGGTATTAACTAGTGTATGGGAGTCAAATGTGATCTCTGAGTGGTCAGAATCACTGATTATCCCGATCTTCAAAAAAGGTGAGAGGTCCTCTTGTGATAACCACAGAGGAATCAGCCTGATGAATAGTGTTTGAGATTCTAGGTTTTATAATCATTAGGTGCTTATGTGGAGCTCGAAAACAGCAAGCTCGAGGAAACCAGAGAGACTTCAGACCTAGTCATGGGTGTATCGACCAAATATTCACACTCCGTCAGGTTTAGGAACACAGGCGCGCTCACCGACCCCCGACTAGCTATATTTTTCAACCTGAAGGCGACATTCGACTCTATCGATCAGGAGGTGTTATGACAGTGTCTTTCATTGAAAAGAGGTACCGAGTAAGTACATCACTTTATTAAAGGCTCTTTATTGGAACACCTGCAGGAGTATTAGAGCCTATGGTGAGATATCGGGTGAGTTGTGTCCGTCAAGGATGCCCACTCTCTCCATTTTCATTCACTTTTATCATAGATGTTCTTGTAGAGGTCTCCTCGACATCCAACTACACAAGGATTAACCTAATTACTGGAGAATTTTTGGTAGACCTAGAGTATGCAGATGATATAGTTCTGTTAGGTGAAGACACTGATAAGATGCAGAATCTTCTGGACACCTTGAGTTGCAATCTGAGAATGAGATGCGTTTCTTGCCACCTAAGTGCATATTGTCGCTCCAGGGCTGGTCTTCGACGGTGCTCTTCCTATCAACAGAAAGTGAAGTGATTGAGTGCGTTGAACACTTCACTTCCCTGGGAAGTCGGATAAGTTCTGATGGATCAGTGGCCGACGAAATCTCTGCACGGATACAAATAGCTCGGTTGGCTTTTGCAAACTTACTCCACCTGTGGCGCCACCGTGATATCCAATTATCTATTAAGACTCGAGTGTACTGTGCTGCAGTCCGCTCTTTTCTACTGCATGGCTGTGAAAGATGGCTATTAAAGGTAGAAGATATGAGAAAGCTTCATGTGTTTGACCACCGTTGACTTCGTAGCACAGGCCATGTTTCGTGATCTCACCATATGCGTAACGTAAAAACCAGGCGTATAGTTTTAGGGAGGAGAGGTAAGTCAATGTGTGTGGTTGTAAACATCAACTAAGGTGGCTGAGACATGTGTTAATTATGTCTAGCCACCATCTTCCTCTTAGCACATTGTTGGTCGAAGTAGGTTCAGGCTGGAAAAAAGGCTCATGGCGACCAGATTAAAACATGGCATCGCTGCACCAATCCCTTGACTGTTGGTCTGAGCTGTGTAGAGAAATGTGGACTGCCCGGGGTCTGCGTGACAACATAAGCCAGTGATTGTAGACTAGGTGATATGGCTCAAAACCGATGTCATTGGCGCAGATGCATACACACCTTGTTCTCACATTAACCTCTATAATTAATCTCATTATCTTCTCATTCTTCCTTCTCTTTTACTACTCTCTCCTTCTACTTCCTTTGACTGATTTTTCTTTCTTCATCTTCCATTTTATTGCCCTATTACTTGATGTACTGATATGAGGTATGACAACTTGGACCATTACGCAGTAATGCCTGGTCCTATGTTGATCTTGATGATGGTCGTATGACTTAGTCGACTCTAAGTCATTTAGACAGGTCAGAGCCTACCGTTTATTTGGTGTCTGAATATTCATCAGTAACAGATGTAGTTCAGACTCATTTAGGAACAAGCGACTGCTAAGGTGATTAGGCACCTGCTTTCCCGCCGTCATCAGTCAACATAATCCTAGTATACGATTTGTAAAAGGTTGATATTTGTTTGTTTTGCTTTGGGACTGCACCCAAACCAGTATGGAGTAGTGGTATCAGTCACAGATGAGGAAAAGGTCGTTGGCTTTTCGTAAAAGCAGAGAAATGAGGGGCAACTGTCATCTTCAATGACACAACACAGAGGCTCAACGTGGTGTGTTGGAACCCTAGTTCGTAACATGATCCAGGAAAGTCTTTTGCTGAGTCAAATATGTTTTCGCCGTTTACTATTAGTAGTACTCTACTTCTTTTAAAACATTCGAGCAGCCCACCAGCTGAGTCAGTGGTTTAGATAGATGACTATCTAGCCCAGCTCCACCTACAGGGGTTTTGGGAGCCAGTTAGTGTCATTAGCCGTCACATAATGGATGTGGCTAATTGTCTATTGGACGGAAGTGCACCATGCAGGTGAGTGCCTTTCGTTCGCTCATTTTCGCCTCTAAAGGCTTACCATTAGAGTATTTTGATGTGTGAACTACGTAATATTTTCGGCACAGTTCATAAGTTGTGGATAGGAAACTGCTGTTATTGAAAACCATACTGATATCTGTACGAGGCTGAAATATTCGATTACGTATCTGTTACTGTATGCCTACACTTTGAACTGTCGCGTTTATTCCCTAAGATGCATAAAAATCGTCATAGTTTTTCACCGAGGTATTTTCAGGGTCGACAGTGATTAGTGGTTCTACCATTGCTAATAACATGGATGTGTACAATATACAGAATTGTTTCATGCTTGCATATCAGACAATAAAAAGTCGAGTGAAACCGTAAGTCAGAAATTATGTGTAATTTATCACTTAACAGCAATAATATTTATTCCTGAATACGCAGGTACACACCATTTGTACAGGTATGGGTAGATTTCTGTTAAAGTTTATGTAGTTATTACACGCGCATAGCACAGCAGACTTGTGAAAAACAAACAGTTCTTAAACTTTGACATAGGCGTCTTGACAGATTATGGAGTGTAAACGTTTACACTGGAGTGCGATACTATTTTTTTTACTTTTTGACCTTAAAGCGACATTCTAACTCATCAGTTGACGGGCCTGGCGACATGCCATTAGGATAGAAAAAATTTTAATATCTTTTCCTGGTTGTTCAGTTCGAGTCAGAATCGTAATCCAATCAGAAACGTTTTGCACATTCGTGCAGTAGGCAATGAGCTACACCCATTGTATGAGGGCTATTGATACTACCCAGCTTTCCAATCCTCGGAAGGTGGAGCAATGTTCCAAATAGTCATCTAATGACCGAAAGTCAACTTCCTAAAGCAATGAACCACAGTTCCGGTTGGTCAGTTACTGTTGTGACTAGTTGAACCAATTTCTTAGTTTTGAAAGTCAAGTAAGGCCCTTTGAAATAAGTTTAACAAGCACTAATCCCTATTATATATCACTTGTAGGTTTTTGACCCTTTTGTACTGAAATTTTAGGTTGAAACACCTATGATGAATGCAATTGCTGGTGGTGCAGCAGCAAAACCATTCATTACGCATCACAATGAACTAAATATGAATTTGTTTATGCGTGTTGCTCCAGAATTGTACCTGAAGATGCTAGTCATTGGAGGGCTTAATCGTGTATACGAAATCGGGCGTGTGTTCAGAAATGAAGGTATTGACCTGACTCATAATCCTGAGTTCACATCAATTGAATTTTATATGGCGTATGCAGATTATGAAGATTTTATGACTATTACAGAAGATTTATTGTCCGGTAAGAACTTGAGATTGTTTTGTCTGGTATTTATTGTCATTCAGTTTTGTGCATTGTATCCTCCAAGTAGCGTTTTGTTTTCATAAACATGAGTCTCACACCTGCGTACTACTCAGTTTCCCCGCCGACGTAATAAGCAGGTATAGAACATACCAAATATACTCAAACGTTTTTTTATTACTTGCAAACTAAAGTACTTTTCATCAGCGTCCTCATGTCATGTCATGTTACTGAACAAGTCAAGACTAGATGTCTGTTTAGACCTTTGATTTTATCTTGACTTCCTGCGAAGCATTGCCCAACTTATTACCTTCACAGGATCATTCGTTTTTTATTCTAGTTTCTCATATAGCTACTGGTTGGCTTGTAACTTTTTGGTAAATCGATGTCTTTTGACTAGTGTTGGGTATATATTAGGATTATTATCAGTAAGTACAGTATCTATGTGGTGACCTCTTTAATTTGACTTCGAATGACGTGTTTACTGACGGTTTGTATCAACATCATCATCATCAACAACGTAGGACATTACCGCAAATTGATTCGAGTTGATACACATATCAACACATCAAATAATAAATTGATAACATAAAAGGTGTACAAGGAAAAAAAATCGGTCAAAAGCAGTAGTAGGTAGTAAACGAGCGTGAGGAGGAATGAGAAAATGCTGAATTCTGTATAGTGGTTATGATAAGGGTAAAAGTGCGGATACATCCGCACCAATGACATCGATTACCAGCCATATCATCCAGAGTCTCCAATCACTGGTTTCTGTTTTCATGTGGACGCCGACCGCTGGTGTGCATCTCTCTACGTGGCTCAGGCCGACAGTCAAAGATTTCATGCAGAAATGCCATGTTTTAATCTGGTCATCCTTGACCTTTCTGCAGCTTAAACATACTTCGACTATCATTGTACGACGAGGCAGACGGTGACTACGCATTCGTGACACATGTCCCAGCCCTTAACTGACTTCTCTTTCCTCCCTTAAACTCTTCATTTGAATCCTGCGTTACTGATATGGTGACACCACAACACGGCCAACGCAACGAAGGTAACGGTAGTCAAATGACAGCTTGTGTATTAATAGATAACTATTTGAGAAGCAAGGAAACAGCCTGTATTTAGCGACCAAACAATCAAGATACTCGGGATTCAGTAACATAAAAGTACAGATTGGGGCCATTTGCTGTGTTCAGTGTAAAAATTGTCCCAGGGTAGAAGCTAATGTAAGATCTTTGCGCTCGTATCTTAATTTTTCCGCTCGAAGTGCAGTAGTAAAAACACACTAGTAAGAAAGTTCCCCCGGCATGTGTATTTGAAATGAGGGCGAAGCTATAAAAAGTGCTTGCGAATAGTTTTCCATCACCCGACTGCGGAATCAACTGCATTCTCGTCAAAACCATCCATTTAAAGGTGCAGCTTTGATCTCTGACATAGAAATTTAACAAACTACATAAATATACTACTGAGCGACAGAAATGACTAGAAACTGCCACGGTGATTTTCGGATTTGTGACCTTGGCAGGAAGTTTTTAAGTGGGAATCTTATGGATACCACATTTAGTCAGTTGCAAATATACTCAACTAACAACATGAGTCGTACAGATTGCGGAGCGATCGTTCACCTTTGTAGTATCCTGATTGACTCAAGTCAGTCTGCTAACCTGGCTGAGTGAAACTACACAGGTTTTGTGTGAACTGGAATCGGTTGACGTGATGGTCAGGCGTGGATATCACAAGGACCCAAGAAGCTTCATTCGGTGTAACGCTTGTTCCCTCGTGGTCCTATCGTGCCAGATAAATCTGATTGAAAGTCGTAAAATGAAATGTAGGTAGCTTAAGAGGAAATAGCCTTCCACTGTATGGGAAGCCCGGTTGTGTCAACTGCCCGCACGTTTCCAGTTGTACACAAGACCCAATCAACCATAACGTATCCTCTTCAACAGTCTCCTCCTTTGCCTCCACCTCTTGATACTAATATTGTTAATCCTCTTACTCCTTCACCAATCTGTGATAATTCCCAGCGATCAAAGGCTTCGAAGCCTCATTCATAGTCTCCTAAAACCTCGCCATGGACTTCATATTGGGGCTTCCAACACCCGAACTCTGGGTCAAATCGGAAAGTTTACATCACTTACCGGAAGTCTGAAATCTCGATCCGTGAATGTATGCCGTGTCTCTGAGACGACTTGTATAGAACTCGATTGTGGTTGTTAAACTGATCTCATCTGACCAGTGTAGTGGAACTTCAGAATTCACTTTGCTAGTATCCAGAGGCCCAGTGACTAGCTCTCGTGCACTCGGTGTGAGGTTATCATTGAGGTATGAGGAGGAAAGTGAACTTTTTGCGGGGATACCGGTCAACAGCCATCTGTATGCTGTTCGACTGAATGGGTCTGTAAGAACTAGGAATGGTCGTGGTTATTTGCAATCTCCGCCTACTCACCCAACGACTGCAGTTCGGACAATGCAAACAATGAATTTCAAGGGAAGGCGTCCATTCCGCTACCCAAACCAAAACGTTCAGATCAAGTCATAATGGCAGGTGACGTTAACGCTCAAATAGGGAGGCTGAGATGAGCCAATCGGAAAGGCATTTTAGAGGTATCTACGGAATCCCATGCCAACGAACGGACAACGGTAATCGTCTTTTGTAATTTTGTTTCGACAATCACTTGTTTCTGGCCCGCACTAACTTTAGGCATAGGAAGGAACCTTGTCTTACATAGCGTCCGCCGACATCAAACCAACGATGGACACAAACCGATCAAAAGCTATAAGCCATCGTTGGAAGATTGGCGCTATTTCTGGAGTACCTGTTTGAACTGCGATCACGCGCTTGGACAGGCTTGTGTATGTCTGCGCCTTACTGGTTGCAGGAAACATGCGACAGTCAAGCTTGTCTATGGTCGATTGGAAGATGAGGACGCCAGGTACCTATTTAGGGAGGAGTTAGCTAAGTATTTATCTGAACACGACAGCAATGCACGTCCTGAGGAAACCTGGTGTGATGTAAATTCTGCTGTAGAAATAGCCGTAAAAATAGTTGACAACATTCACTAGAAGATTAATAAACGACATTGGGTTTCCGCAACGTCATCCGAACTGACTAATGTAAGAAAACTGATTTCAGCTGGCTCTGACCTCGATGAAAAACGAAAGAAAATCACATGGAGGTGGGATGAGAGTCTTCGCAATGATCGAGGGCAGTGAGGAGTCATCAATATCAACATAGGACCAGGCATTACTGCTTAACGGTCCGAGTTGCCACACCTCATATCAGCACATCAAGTAAAAAGACGGTGAAGTGGAAGATGAAGATAAGAAATTCAGTCAAAAGAAATATAAAATATGAGAAGAAAAAAAGGAAGAATGACAAAATGGTGAGAATCGGTATAGTGTTAAGATGAGGATAATGTGTGTATACATCTGCACCACTGACATCGGTTCTGAGCCATATCACCTAGAGTCATGTTCCAAACACTAGTTCCTCTTGTCCCGTGGACCCCAACCACCTAGTCTGCATCGCCCCACATGGTTCAAACCAACAGTCAGAGACTTCATACATTGGTGCCATGTTTTAGTCTTGCCACCTCGGGCCTTTTACCAACGTGGACCTACTTCGGCCAACATTGTGTGACGAGGCAATCGGTGACTAGGCTTAGGTAACACGTGTCCCAACCATCTCAGTCGATGAAGGTTCATGACCTCTTCAACAGATTTACTTCTAGTCCTTAAGACTCTATGCCTGACGTTTGCGTTACTCACGTGGTGACACCACGGAATACGGCCTATACTACGAGGGCAACGGTGGTCAAACGCCTTTAGTCTTGTCATCTCTTCCACCTTCAATGGCCATATTTTACAGCCATACAGTAGAACAGATCTGACTGCTGTGCAAGTGCAGTACACGCGACCCTTAATGGACAATCGGATATCACGGCGACACCATGGGTGGCGTAAGTTGGCGAAAGCCAGTCGAGCCTTTTGTATCCGTGCAGAGATTCGTGGCCATTAACCTACCAGGTTGATCCTACTTCCCAAGTAAGTGAAGTGGTCAACATACTCAATCACTACACTCTCTATTGTTAGCCGTGGGACCGTTTAAGACCAATCGTGGAGCAACGATTTGCATTTGGGTGGTGAGAACCGCATATTGAACATTCTCAAATCTCCACTCAAAGTGTTCAGAAGACTCTGCATGTTGTCAGCGTCTTCACCTAACAGGACTATGTCATCTGCATATTCTAGGTCTAATGAAAATTCTCCTGTGATTAGGTCAACGTCTGTGTAACCTGGTGACGAGTGGGAGACCTCCATGAGAATATCTGTGATGAAATTGAATAAGAATGGAGAGAGTGGGCATCATTGATGGCCACCACTCGATGAGCTCGATGAGCATAGCTCCCTAGACATCTCACCATAGGCCCTAACATGCCCACAAGTGTTCTAGTAGAGAGCCTTCAATAAGGTGATGTACTCTCACTGAGTACGCCTTTCAGTGAGAGACACTGCTATAAAACTTCTCGATTAATGGAGTCGAGTGTCGCCTTCAGGTCGAGAAATACAGCTATTGTCGGACGTCTGTAAGCGTGTCTATGTCCCAAAACCTGGTGCAGTGTGAATATTTTGTAGATGCACCCGCGGTCGTGTCTAAATCCTCCCTGGTTTTCTCGGGCTTGCTGTTCCCGAGCTCCATTCAGGCGTTGGAGAATTATAGACCTAGGATCTTGGACACTATGTTCATCAGGCTGATTCCTCTGTGGTTGTCACAAGAGGACTTCTCATCTTTCAGGAAGACTAGAATAATCAGTGATTTAGACCAGTCAGAGGGGATAGTATTTGATTCCTATATATTGGTTAACACTTCCGTTAACCTGACTGAGAGCACCTTACCAATATCCTTATATACCTCTGGAGTTAGTCCGTCTGGTCCTGTCACCCTTCCCCGTTTCAGGTTACCTACCGCTTTCTCGACTTCTCCTGATGTTGGGGGACCTATCTCAATATTCCTAATGTTCAGGATCCGACTGGACAGCGGGCAACGAAATGGTGGCTGAAGGTCAGTTAAACTGTTGCTCGAAGTGTTCTGTGCATCGTTCCAGTCGTCTCCCCTGCGAGTGAATCGCAGATCCGTCCTTCTCTGCTATAGCCTCACTAACTGTTGTTGATCTTTTTCCTCCAGTTTCCTTAATAAGTCTAAATAACTATCTACTGTTACCAATCGCCGCTGCCTTTTCCATCTCTTTAGCCTTCGCTGCCCAGGTCCGAGTCCCATGCCATCAGGACTTTGGCCATCTATTGATTTCCGTTACTTATCTCTCTTGGTTTATCTGATTCATTTAATTGCTTGTCCACCGAAGGGACGGTCTAGTGAAGGGCATCATAGTGCAGCGATGCAGGTTGTCATACTTCAAAACAGCAGAACAGAATAAAACCAACAGCAACAGCTGCATTTTGTTTGCATAGTTTTGCCATCTCATCTATTTGTCATTTCTGACTAGTCAGATGGACATTCTTGTTGCTGTTTACGTATTAGTCAGTATACGTAAGTTGTCACTTACCATATTTTTATCTAAGTGGTATTGACTTCAATCTTTCTATTTCCAAATCTTTTTTCTTACTACAGGTTTGATCAAGCATCTTTTTGGATCATACATTATAAAATATCATCCGGATGGTCCAGAATCCGAAGCGATCACTGTTGATTGCACTCCGCCTTTCAAACGTATCAATTTCTATGATGATTTAGCAGCTAAATTAAACGTGGAATTACCTCCTCCAGATACTTTGGATACCGAAGACTCCCGACAGTTCTTCTTGAAGATTGCGGCTCAACACGGAGTTGATTGTTCGGAGCCGAAAACTACGGCACGATTATTGGATAAGGTAAGCTAGTCATTAGATCAATTGAGTTTTTGCTACTTCATGAGTTTTGGTTAGGAATTGAACTGTTTGGTCAGATGTCTGATTCAAAATGTTACTGTTTGTTTAAGATTGTCAATCATACGCTCCTTTCGCTATTTGAAAGTTTATTTATTGTTGTTGGCCAATAAATTATCCTTCTTATAGGTTGTAGTGTCTCACAACTTCAGCACTGCTGCTATTTGGGTCCGCCCGTAACACTGGCATGATATCTGAATACATCAAAGGATCGAGCGTTTTGTTAATTAGTGCCTCTTGTTTGGCTGACACCAGTGAAAGGTGATCATTGAAGACGGTATGATAGTTTAGTGCATTGGGTCACAAATGCCTTTGTTGCATCGCCTACCTGTAACCGAACCAACACTTGAGTAACGTGAGCAGAAATCTGAGAATGTTTTGCGTGCTTTTCTTACTTGTGAAATGTGAGATGATACTTTAGGCCTGGTCTGCTCCGTTTTTAGTTTGAGTGTAGGGCATGGATGTCGAAACGCGTTGACGATTTCACTTGTGTAGTTGCATTAGGTCTTTTGTGTTGGTTGATGAAGAAATCATAGCTTGAATGAAGAAGTCCTGGTTAGTATTTCCTAACTCACATCATTTTTGGTACCGGTGAAATATCCAACTACCTAATTAAGAATTAGCATACTATGCAACGGCGGTGGACTCTGTGTAGGTGCACGTTTTTATGACACGGTCGTTGGAATTAGGAGATATGATAAGAATACAGGATTTTGACTACAAGTGTTTTCGTAGCGTTGCTCGCACTAGGGGAGGAACCAACCTGTGAGCAATGTTGTAGTGTATGAGGCAAGCAGTACATGCCAGTCGATGAAGTTTTCAACCTCAAATGACTGGTGTGGCTTGGACATTTGCGCATACCAAGTCACCACCCACCTCAACGTGCGTTCTTAGTCAGAATGTGATTGGGTTGCAAGGAAGTGGTTAAACCAGTTGATAAGGTCTTTGATTGTCGATCTGATCTGTGTAGGGAGGTGTGTGCTGTGTGGCTCGGCTCCTAAAGAAGATAGTAATCACGTATCATCCATGTCTTTTGTCATCCACCTCAACACTGTGTTGAAAACAGTGAGGTGACCAGTTATAAAAATGGCACCAATTTCCGAAACCTTTGGCTTTCTGTCTGAATCATGTGGAAGTTCGAATCCCACTCCACGTGTCGAGGTCCAGGGAGTCGGGTTCTATCCTTATCCTTCATACAGTAAATGTGGTTTGTTACCTCATGAACAATTTTTATCAACATTGTTGTTGAAAGCATTCTGATTCAAATTAACACGAGCAGTTTCTTTACGTACCTTAAAATTCAGTGTAGTTCGAGCTGTAAAACAAATGCACTTTGTTTAGCGACGTTAAATTCTTGAATGGTGCAACAATGTAAAGAAGTTAGTTCTCTTACATTTCATCACTGTAAGAACAACCAGTTTCATTTTGAGTTCGTTGTCGAATAATTGGTTTTAATAATGAAATCTGCCATGGAATATTTTGAATACTTTCTGACTCTGATAAGCTCGTTTGTTTATGGATGAAATGTTGTTTCACCAAACCTACAGCTTTCTTCAAAAATAGTATATTTGATTATTTTTTATAACCAATTCGACGTACGTTCTTTTCGTGCAATGAATGTATTTTCCCGTTAATTTGTTATGACTATCAAAGTATCGAAAAACATGTACGTAAACGCATCTGGCTAAGTAGCAGTCTTGCTTTTTTAAACCACTGTGTTTGATTGTACATCACTTGAACAGTTAATTTTTTGTAGATGCTCATGTCATAAGTTTAAATCAATTCTTTGCAATTATTTTCGAATGACCGTACTTTGTTTGAAAGTCTGTTTCTTTAGTAACACTGTGGCTATACATCGTATTCAAGAAATGTATTCTCTGTTTGGTTTTATTACCAGTTGGCTGGTGAATTCTTGGAACCTATGTGTGTTAATCCAACATTCCTAACTTGTCATCCGTGCATAATGAGTCCTTTGTCCAAATGGCATAGAAATCGTCCTGGGCTGACTGAACGCTTTGAACTGTTTATGTTGAATAAAGAGATTTGCAATGCATATACCGAATTGAATGATCCAGTTATACAACGTGAAAGGTTCATGGAACAGGCTAAAGTAAGTATCCTCTTTCTTGTTTTTCTTCTACAACTGTTGTTCATCACTGCTTTTGTGCCTAATTTGTGTAATTGTGTGCTCTTTGTCTCCTCTCATGTCAACCTAGGATAAAGCTGCTGGTGATGCTGAAGCAATGGTGACGGATGAACAGTTCCTCACTGCTATGGGCTACGGTCTTCCACCGACTGCAGGCTGTGGCATCGGTGTGGATAGGTTAACTATGTTTTTGACAAACACAAATAACATCAAGGAAGTTATCCTGTTTCCTGCAATGAAACCAGAAGCTAATGCTGCCATATCAGCGAATACTGTGCTCTTAAAAGATACACCTACCACACCTAAGCCACAAAACACTGATTCTGTTTCAACCAGTAATGAGGTACCTTCTCAATCCTCCAACAATATTGAAGGTATGATGAACAGTTTGAATCTCACGAAGAATAGTGACAGTTCCCCACAAACCCTTTCAGCTGAGGCGAAAGTAAATTCCCAGACTCCGATTTCTGTACATCAGACAACTAGTGAATGTCCTCCCACTGCAACCAAAACTGGAAAGAAAAAGAAAGGGCGACGCTCTTAAACTTAATTTCTTTGTATTTTGATGTTTTTTTCATTTTGGTTGAAGTTAAGTTTAAAATGAGTGCGCCATGTGCATTCCTTGATGATAGCTCATTGTTCTCTCGAACAGATTGTATTCAATTGCATAAATTTGTGTTTCTTTTTATTCCGCAGAGAAGAAAGGAAATATAGTATGGAATAATACTATGCCTGAGTTTGTTCTTTTCTTTTGCTTCAACTCCTCTATTTACAGTGATGTAGATCAACTCATTTCTAAATTAATGTGCCATACAGTCCTCCCAGTGATTCAGATTGTTGGTTGCTATCTTCACTTTAAACATTTCCCGATATTACTCTTGGAGTTCGGTATTGTGTTTGCCACAACGTTATTGTCACGAAATGCTGTCTCTATTTCGGTATGCAGTGACGCGATGCAGGTGATATGATATTTAAATTAGCTTAACGTGATCAAATATGAGATAAACGCTTAACTTTCTTTTTTTCGGCTTCGTTCATCGATGCAATTCTGCTAATGCTCTCTAAGGAACTCAGCAGACAAAGCCATTTTTGTTTTGGATGGAAGCCAGTTATCTCAGAATAGTGTAATCTGTGTTGTGTTTCGCAAATATTTGGCGCCGAGTGAAAAGTTGACATATGATATGTTATATTTGGAGTAATCTGAGCGTGTTCGGAATTTCTTATTCCAAACACGCTGTTTGTCCAACTATAACTTATAGGTTGTCTTTCGCCTAGTTCATTGTTTGTCGGTTATACCTACACGTATTACCTATGCATTCCATATCTCTGGTTGACTTTGAGTCTATTTTTTTCGTTTTGATGACTTATGATAAACTTCGAAGTAGTCAGTTAAGGGAAAAATTACTGTACGTTGCATCATACTTCTGTGAGTTGTCTTTGGAATCATTTTCATGAAACCACTTTGGTCAAAAGTGCTTATCGTCTATCTCCTATTACTTGTTATGCACTTGTTATGGTCTCCCTTTGTGTATAGCAGTGGGTTGTATCTTAGGTCTTGCCCCCAGCACCATAAGTATAGAAAACACTTCTTGCTGTAGATATATAATGATTGAGTGTTGTAAGCTGGTAGTTGGGTAAATGGGTGATAAATAATTCGAAAATTTTGGATTAGCTCAGTTGAGAAACTAATTTTTCTTAAGTAAACAGTGTATATAAAATTGCGGCATCCTGCACCATAATCGACCACAGATTGATGTTACCATTACAGCTAACTCGCTGGTTTTCGAAATCAAAGTAAATCGGTAGTGCTTAAAATCATTTTCTTAGTTATCTGAGTTGCGACTGAATAATTCGTTGACCAGAGAGTTACGAGCAATAATAACTTATCTAGTGTTTTTCATTTGATAAAGAAGAACGAAGATGAGGCTGCATGCACTCTGCATTTAAATCTAGGTGATGCATCCATTAGCCTGTTTGAGGTATTCAGATAAGGCTGTTTAAAAAGTCCACTCAATGGTCATTTGCAGTAGTAAGTAGCGAAGGCTGGGGAGATGAAAACGTCAGTAATTATAGAAAACAGTAAACAGCTAGTTAGACTTGTTGAGGAAACTGGTGCGAAAAATTCAACAGTTGACGAAGCTGTTTCGTAAAGGTATGAATCTGAAATTCACTCATGGGATAAGCCATATGAACGACGGACATAACAGTTCACATTGCTTCTGGCTAGTATTCCTTCTCCCACTATCCATTCAGATGCAAGATGAGATATCGAGATACGGCCTAGACAGCTGGAGAAGTCAAGAGAGCTGTAAATAACTTGAGACGAGGGAGTGAAGACTAATTAGTTCCGAAGGTATTTAAGAGTGGTGGTCGAGGCTTTCTCGGTTGAATTAACTAGTGTATGGCAATCGAACATGATCCCCTCTGAATGGATCCAATCAATTATTGTTCAAGAAGAGGGAGAAATTCTCTTGTTATAACTGCAGGGGGATCAGTCTAAAAAGCCTAGACTATCAGATGTCTGAGCGGAGCTCGGAAACAGATACGCGGGAAAGCCGGGTAGGTTCCAAACCTGGCTGTGAGTTTGTCGACCAAATGTTCACACTCCGTCAGGTTCTGGGACGCAGTCACACCGACCTCAGAAGATAGGTGTACTTCTTGACTTGTAGGTGACCCACAACTCCATCGTTTGCGATGTCTTATGGCAGCGTCTCTCACTAAAGGGTACACCACTCTGTTGAAGACTTCTCCCAAACACATGGGCATTGTTGGAAGGTATGATGGGTTGTCAGGTGACCTGCGTTCGTGGAGTGGTGTCTGTCAGACATGCTCACTCTATCCCTATTCAGTTTTAAAATGGACGTGTTTTTGGAGATCTCTTCATCAGACTTCACATGGATTGATTTAACCGTAGAAGACTTCTTGGTAAATCTACAGCATGGAAACGACGTAGTTGTGTTACATGAAGTCTCTGGCAGTATGTAGAGTGTTGAGCAGCAATTTGAGAATGTTTAGGATTCGTTCCTACTCATTTAAATGCAAGTTTATGCTCAAGAGCTGGTATTCAGCAGTGTTCCGGCTAACAAAGGGAGGTGAAGTGGTTGAGTGCGTTTTCCACTTATAACAAGCAGTCAAGAATTGTGATAAGACAGCAAGAAAATGCTGAACTCAGTATGATGATTAGGATGGGGTTAATAAGTGGATACATATGCACCATTGTGCACGATTCCGCTGTCCACGCAGGCGTCGACTGAGGAGTTTACATTTTTCTACACGGCTCAGACTAACAGTCAAAACCTTCATCTTGTGGTGCCGCTTTAGTCCGGGCACTTGTAAACTTTTTCCAGCCTACTTAAGATAACATTTTGCGACGAGGAAGACAGCGACCAGGCATTTGCAACACATCCCAGTAACGAGAATCTAAAATTAGCTCGTGACGTCATTAACTAAATTTCCTCCTCTGATGGGAACTCTACTCCTAACTTCTACGTTACTGACAAGATGGTTTTTTCGACACGATCAATGTTATGTAGATGAAAGGGACTAAATACCTGATGTCTCATGTCCTCTTCCTTTGGTGGTAATGTTTTACAGACCTCGTGTAGAAAAAAGCGAACTACAGTGCAGTACACCATCCTCAATAAAAAGCTGAATATAACGGTGGTGCTATAAATCCGTAATTTGACTACCACCATTACCTTTAGAAGATAATTCGTATGTCGTGATTTCTCTACGCCAGTAACGTAGAAGTGTCAGTTCTAGAGTTTTAGGCAGAGGAGGAAAGTTAGTTGATGACGTAGTAAACCTTCACCGTCTAAAGTGGGTGGGAGATGTGTCTCAGGGGTCTAGTCACCGTCTATCCGGTTGCGCAATGTTAGCTGAAGTATGTTTAGGCTGTCAAAAGAGTAGAGATGACCGGGATAAAACGCAACATTAGTTTATGAAGCCTCTGACTGTTTGTCTGGACCTTGTAAAGAAATGTAAGCTTTGCGGTCGGCGTTCACATGACAACCTAGACTCTTATTAGGTTACTTAAGCTCATATGGCTTAAAATAGATCTTAGTGGTTCAGGTGTATATGGAGGCATTGTTGTTATGTTTATCTTCATACTGAATTTCACTTGTCTCATTCCTCCTTGCTATCTTTTCACGAGTTACTATTAGTTTTTGTCTTCTCTACCTCTCTTGTTGATACATTCCCTCTTAATGTGCTGATATAAAGTGCTACACAGCAATGCCAGCTCCCTTGTTCATATTATCTACCCACGTATATCTATTTATGTTTCATGTTCTAATGGGTATTATCTGTATATTTACGTGCCAGATGATAACAAGATAAGGACTTTCTAACTTTTCGGGAAAAATGCTTGGTATTTTGCATGCGTTTTGCACTTGTCAAAGGTAGGATGATACTTCAGGACTGTTCTAAACCGCATATTACTCTCTCTACCGGGTATGCAGTAGTGTAACTTGTTGATTACTTCAGCTGCTTAATGGGTTACAATAGACTGAATGAATCGGTTGTTGACAAAATTTCAACTCATATTCAGGAGGCTAATTTGATATTCGCACATTGAATGGCGCTAGTGAAACATCCGGTTACCTGCGGGTATACTGCTCTACATTGTGTTCTGTCTCTGCACGATTATTAGACGTGGTCGTTGAAAATGGGAAATTTAGTCACAGGTACTCTCATACCACTGGTTGCATGCACTAGAACAACCATGTGGGCAATTTTGAGGTTAGGCATAGGATACTGAGCAAATCATTCGATGAAGTTATGAACACTGACTGACACTACTTATGTGTGTTGCGTGTACAGACTGTCGGCGATATGACTCAAAATCGGCCAAAATGACGCTGATGTAGAGGCTTGGACGTTTTCACTAATCTTCGTTTGTTTACTTTCTCTTCTTACATACATACATCTACTTTCATGTTATTTGTTTCCAGTCCTCCTTTACTTTGCATGGTAATGTGAAGTATTATAACTTGAAACGTTGCACTTATGTCTCAAGTTCTACTTTGATCTATCCATCTTTCGAGTATATAACCGTTGTACCAAAAAAGCTATCCTTATCTCACCTTCATTTATCTGTAACCAGAGGATGCAGGTGACATTCTGAGGATTCTTTTACCTTACATCCATCCATAGAATTATAAACTGTTTTTCTTCTGTTGTCAGCAATTAAGAATCAATTTTATTTAACTCTGTATTTGCAAGTTTATCTGCAGCTAACAAAACAAAGAGATAAGACAAACGGAATTAATCAGTGCAGTCAGAGGGTATATGTTGTTCTGTAGCTGCTACATTATGTGGTTAGGTGAACTACATTTACCTTGAATAACACTCTAGTATTATTTATTGGTGACCAGTCACAAAGTCGATGACTATTTTTAAATTGTTTCATATGACTTCAGTATTATTAAACAAGACGAATGTACTTTACTTTCGTCATACTGACCTCAGATTATTTCTCCAGGATGTGATGAATATGGCCATTTCTGTTTACAATCGGACTTGTTATGATGACTGATTAACAGT